CGAGAGAAGCTCACGAAAATCAATCCAAAACCTGCAAATCCGGTCCCAAATCGAGATTTTTCAAAGGGAAACCACTAGATCTGGGTTCTAGGTCCTAAAACAAGTCCAAAGAACCCAAGATCTCCAATTTCTACTCTAGTTTTGTTCAAAAACCATCAAAATCCGGTTTGAACCAAAAATAAGTTTTGAAATCCAAAAACTTAAGATTCAAGAGAGGTTCTTTCAGTAATCTTACCTCGAATCATTCTCTTGACGTTGAAAACTTCTTTAAATCTTTACTTGGTTCAAGATCCGTTTGATTTGGGACAAAAATTAGAGAGAGAGAGAGAGAGTGAGAGAGCACAGGAGAGTGAGGGAGAGAGACGCACGGGAAAGGAAGAGAAAAGAAAGGAAAAGGAAAAAGGAAAGAAAAAGAAAGAAAAAGAAAAAGGAAAGAAAATGGACAAGTGTCAATATTTTAAAAGAGCAGTCCAGAAATGCGCCCATACACACTTCTGGTTTAAAATAAATTACTGAGAATAATTTAAATACCTTGGAACTATTTAAACTCACACGTGTCAGAAACATTTATTAATTAAACTCAATTAATAATCCAGATTAGGCACACTAATAATCTCAATTACCTTAATTAATCTTAATTAATTCTTCAGGGTGTTACAGCTCCACCCCCCTTAGGTAATTTCGTCCCCGAAATTAAAGCCTACCTCAAAGTGTGAACAGATACGGATAATGCTCCTGCATCGTCATTTCAAGTTCCCATGTCGCTTCCTCAACTCCATGGTGCTGCCATAATACTTTTACTAGAGGAATCTCACGATGACGCAGACTCTTTACTTTCCGATCAAGAATCTGAACTGGTGCCTCCTCGTACGACACGTCACACTGTATTGGAACGTCAAACCACTGCACTACTGTTTCCGGCTCAAGTTGACATTTCCGAAGCATGGAGACATGAAACACGTCATGCACGTGAGATAATTTAGGCGGTAAAGCCAATCGGTAAGCCACTACTCCGATTCGTTGCACGATCGGGAATGGTCCCACATACCTTGGTGTAAGTTTCCCTTTCACACCAAACCGAACGACTCCCTTGCATGGGGAAACCTTTAGCAAGACAAAGTCTCCCTCTTGGAATTCCAAAGGCCTACGCCTTCTGTCAGCATAACTCTTCTGACGACTTTGAGCTGTCAACAGTCGTTCCCGAATAACAACTATCTTCTCATTATTCTCTTGAATGACTTCCGGCCCAGTGCTTAATCGATCCTCTGGTTCCAACTAACACACAGGTGACCTACAAGGACGACCATACAGAGCTTCAAACGGTGCCATTCCAATACTGGCCTGATAGCTGTTGTTATAAGCAAACTCAGCTAGATGCATGTATTTCTTCCAGTTCCCACCAAATTCCAGAATACAAGCACGAAGCATATCCTCCAGAATCTGAATTACCCTTTCAGATTGCCCATCAGTCTGAGGATGACATGCTGTGCTGAAATTCAAGTATGTTCCCATGGCTTCCTGGAAACTCCTCCAATACCTTGCATTAAAACGCGTGTCACGATCTGACGTGATAGACAGTGGCACTCCGTGCAGTCTCACGATGTGCTCCAGGTACAATTCTGACAGAATCTTCCGAGAATACGTCGCACGGAACGGTATGAAATGCGTGGACTTTGTCAACCTATCCACCACCACCCAGATGACATCGTGCTTCAGCTCGGTTCTCGGTAGCCCCATTAGAAAATCCATAGTGATGTGCTCCCATTTCCATCCCGGGACAGGAAGAGGTTGCAACTCTCCCGCCGGCTTCTGATGCTTAGCTTTAATCCGGAGGTAAGTCACACATTCCGAGACATACTCACGAACATCCCTTTTCATGCCTCTCCACCAGTACTGTCTTTTCAGGTCCTGGTACATCTTTGTACTACCCGGATGTATAGCATACCTCGATTTATGTGCCTATTGCAGAATCGTCTTCTTTACCTCACCCACCTTAGGAACAGCAAGGCGGTTGCGGAAATACAAGGCTCCATCCTCTTGGATTCTCCAATCCTCGAATTGTTCTCCATTCTAGATCCGAATCCAAATTGCTTGGAGGTGTGGATCCTGCCATTGATTCTGCTTAACCTGTTGCACAATATCCGGTGTAGAGACCAGATTGTACACCATAGCCTGGTTATGATCTTCGTAGAACTGAAGATCGTACTCGCCCACCACTTCAGTCCTTTTCCAATCCTCCAAAGCTAATGACGCCAGAGTCCTTGTCGTCTTCCTACTAAGGGCATCAGCCACGACATTAGCCTTTTCAGGATGATATTGCAGAGTGAAGTCATAATCTTCCATGTACTCCACCCATCTCCTTTGTCTGAGATTCAAGTCTTTCTGAGTAAACAAGTACTTCAGACTTTTATGGTCAGAAAAGACCTGAAACTTTGCTCCATAGAGATAACATCTCCATATTTTCAGAGCAAATATTACCGCTGCCAGCTCCAAATCATGAGTGGGGTAATTCCGTTCATGTGGTCTTAATTGACGATATGCGTATGCTACCACGCGTCCGTCCTGCATTAAGACACAGCTAAGCCCACTTCCCGAGGCGTCAGAATACACCTCATATGCTTCCTCATTATCAGGAATAGTCAAGACTGGTGCACTTGTCAGTCTAATCTTCAGTTCCTAAAAAGCATTTTCACACTCAGCTTCCCACTGGAATCTGACTTCTTTCTTGGTCAACCGAGTCAGCGGTGCAGTAATACTCGAGAAGTCTTTCACGAAACGTCGATAGTACCCTGCAAGTCCAAGGACTCTGCGAATCTCCGCTACATTCTTCGGCCTTTCCCACTGTAGCACAGTCTCGATTTTAGAAGGATCTACAGAAATTCCTTGTCCTGAGATCACATGCCCAAGGAACTTCACTTCTGTCAGCCAGAAGTCACACTTCTCCTTCTTAGCATACAACTGGTGTTCTCGAAGAGTCTGAAGAACAATTCTCAAATGCTGCGCATGTTCTTCCCAAGTCTTCGAGTAAACCAGTATGTCATCAATGAAGACGACCACGAACCGATCCAAGTACGGCCGGAAAACACGGTTCATTAGATCCATGAATGCAGCCGGGGCATTTGTCAGTCCAAACGGCATTACCAAAAACTCGAAGTGCCCATACCGAGTTCTAAATGCAGTCTTCAGAATGTCTTACTCCTTGATTTTCAGCTGATAGTACCCAGATCTCAAATCAATCTTAGAGTAGAACTGTGATCCACCCAACTGATCGAATAATTCATCGATCCTTGGTAGTGGGTATTTATTCTTCACAGTTACCCTATTCAATTGACGGTAATCAATACACAACCGAAGAGATCCGTCGTGCTTCTTCACAAATAGCACCGGTGCACCCCAAGGGGAAGTACTATTCCAGATATACCCCTTTTCTGCTAGCTCCTCAAGCTGCATCCTTAATTCTTTCATCTCCGCTGGAGCCATCCGGTATGGAGGAATAGAAATAGGTGCCGTTCCCGAGACTAAATCTATACAGAATTCAATTTCCTGATCTGGCGGTAAACCAGGTAGCTCATCAGGAAATACATCCGTAAATTCATCCACTACAGGGATTCCCGCACTATCTCCAGTTATCTCGGGTTCACCTTCTAAAGCAAGAAGGGAAGAAAAATAGGCTAGATTCCTCCGTCCCCCAACACTGTACTTCAACAGTCGTTCTCCTAAGACTGGATTCAGATCTGCCTGATAAGAAATCGATGTTCCAGACTTAGTCGTCAGAGTCACTCTCCTACGGTAACAATCAACAATTGCTCCGTATTTTGACAACCAATCCATTCCGAGGACCACATCAAACAGGCTCATCGGAAGGATAATCAAGTCTACTCTCATTCACTCACCACCAATCGCGATCTCACACGATTTACATACACTCATTACCTCCACACATCCCAGTGGAGAGTTCAAAGTCATCGGGACTTCTAAATTCTCAGGTTTTAGTTTCAAAGCCCGAACAAAAGAACTTGATATAAATGAGTGTGTGGCACCTGTGTCAAACAACACGTGAGCAAAAGATTGAGATATTAGAATCATACCCTCAACCACTGCGTTGCTGGTCTGACCTCCAGAGCTGCCTCCTACCAGGGCATAAGTTTGTCCTTGTACTTTCCCTTTCCCTCTGTCACCAACATTGGGCCGTTGAGTCAGAGGCCTATACTGTTGCAGCGAAGGTGGTTGCACCGGTCTTGGCGCTTGAGGCCGAAATTGTGTAAGCAAAGGTGGTTGATAGGTCGGCATAGGAGGGTATGACATCTGTTGTGGCTGATATGGTGGCATGTACGGTGGTGGCCTTTCTTGACTGTACGAAGTATCACTTTGGGCTTGTTGAGCCGGCGGTCGATTAGGATAATTCCTCCTAATATGACCCACCTGGCCACAATGGTGACACCTGGGCCCGTATGGAGCACTTCTGTCACTCCCTGACGAACTACTGCCACCGCTTGTCATTTCCCCAGCCATTTGTCCCAGGTTGCGGTTTCTTCTACCACTCCGCTGTGGTCCACCCGAAACGGAAGGTCTACCAGAGACAGAGACTTGACCCGTTACTTCTTTGCTTTGGTAATAGGCCAAGTTATCATGTTCCACCCGTGTAGCAGCAGCTACCAAATCCCGAAAGTTCCGAAGTCTCAGAGCCACCAAGGATCTCCTCACAGAGTTCTTGAGGCCCTTCTCAAACTTAAGGCATCTCATGTGTTCAGACTCCACTAGTGATGGCGCAAACCGGGATAGGTCATTGAACTTGGCCTCATATTCCCTTATAGACATGTCTCCTTGCAGTAGAGACATAAATTCCAGCGCTTTTTCTACTGCATGGGTGTAGGGGTGTGTTTTCCTCAACAACTAGTATCAGAGCTGTGGTGAAGATTAAAAGAAAAAAGAGGTCAAGAAGTTTGAGCAGATTGAGTGGTCTGATGAAAAGAGTAAATTCAGCATCTAGCAGAGTACTGTAAAAGATGTTCTAATTCAGCATGGATTACTGAAAGCGTTGTAAGAAAAAAAGTCAGAAAAGATGAATGATGAAGATTGGGAAGAATTAGAAGCGAGAGCGGTAAGTACTATTCGTTTAAGTTTGGCTCCTGAATTGAAGTATAGTGTTATAAATTGAATTGAAGTATAGTGTTATAAATGAAGTGTCACGCCCCCCACCCC